CGCGGAAAATTGAATTAATGAGGTGTTACCACAGTATAGTTGATAAAAAATGCCCAGATTATCTCCCGGTTTTTATTCCTTTTCTTCATACACACTAGCGTGTGACGCGCAGCAGCCATTGTCAAGATAACCAACTACCTATGTTTGATACCTCGGAATGTGATCCGTAAATTGCCATTGAAAGATAGGTGTGAAATTGAGCTGAACTTGAACCGCAGCTTTCCTGACCACCATGAGCACTCTAACCACCACAACATTCATCACCACCGCCAGAGAATTATCACCCAGTGATAACTGGGATGAGAAACGAGATATATACATCGTCAAAAACAGAACAGACCTATTCAGCCAAGGAGGCTGAGTAAGGTCCAAACGGTTAGCTATTTTCCACCGACAGTAACAAGTTTTTGTGATATTACAGGATCAAGTGCTAAAACATATTTTTGTTTCTTTCCATCGGTCAAGGATTTTCCACATCCAATTGTTTACTTAGTTATAAAAAGGTAACAGGCTAGAATAATCAAGGTGCGTTGAATAAAACCAAATATTATATCTAATAATCGCGTGAATAAACTGCATATTGTGCCGAAGGTTTCAACGAATGCCTGTAATAGTAGCAAATGTGAAACGAATGTTAACTGTAATTATTTTCTGTCTATCCTGAATAAAAACCAAAAACATTTTAGAGCAATTTGTGTAGGGTAAAACAGAGTAAACGCCGCTGTGTAACCTACCCGACTCATCTGATCAGATTCTGTGACGGCATCGCGCGATTTGACCACATCTAACGGATCACTGGATTGAATTGGGCGACCGAGTTTATCCGCCGGGAGTCGAGTGGCCGACTGATCGGTAGGCAACCCCGATTTGCGTTTCACTCGAGCCAGTCTCGGATCCGAACTTCCGGTTTGAACCAGAACGGGGTCGGACTGGCGCACATCTCTTTGCGCCTGGGCTTTCACGCGACCCATCAGTGAGGCACAGGCCGGATGATGGTGGTGATGGTGGCGATGAGTCGGTTGACCTTTGGCTACACGGGAACGGAGATTGTGTGAAGTAGCCTGTTAAACTGGTTCGAATAACAGAACTACGCTGAAAATCTGGAGCAGTCCTCATTCCTATTCAGGGATACAGTCGACTTTTATTATACTTTGCCAAATGTTACGGTTTCTGTATAGCTTAGAGATAACGTCAAACTTTCACATAAAAAGGGGGCAACTCCTCTGACGAATTGGAATAACTTTTGATTGTTCACGTTTTTCCTAATTTTATGTCAGCGTTGGCAAAACTCGGTGATCCAAAGAAAAATTTAAAATTATTAAATCAGTCAATTAGTTTGTGATTCCCGGGTTAAGTTCCGCAGTTCCCATCAGTCGAGTTAGAAAGAAATCAGAGAGGGAAGACCGCGATCTCTTGCAGCCAGTATTCGTGCATATGGACCCGTCAGTAGAATAATGATCCTTGGGGAAAAACAGATGAACTCATTATTGTTGGCGCAATTCCAAATTTGAAACAACACAAAGTAAAGCACCGAGGATCTCTCGGACAGGCGACAAATTCAGGTTCACGAAAAAACTCGGGACCTGTACAACTTTCCAGGACGGAAAGTAACTATCACTCTGATTTACGGTTCATTTGATCCCACTGGTTCATTGTTTTTTTCACGATCTATAGCCATATCATCATTCATTCTCCGTATGATAAATGTTCTATCATCAAAAAATTAAACAATGAAAACGGTATAGGCTTAAAAGGCCTCGCGTATGTATCGATCCCATCATGGCCAATACACCATGAGTAAAAACTCTAACCACTTTTAGTCCAGCAAACCCAAAAGTTCCGACTAGATGGATTGATCCATCGAGGACGGAAACAAAAGGATGTGAAGATCTAACAGTGAAAACGTAAACGGTAAAGTTTTGTGAGTGTACACATATGAGGCGATCATTATACATTCCCCTGGAGATCCGCTTTGGCACATGCCCAAAAGATAGCAGAGAAGTTTATGAAAGAGGAACCGATGTGACAACCAGAAAACAAAGCTGATTAGTTGCAATAAAAAACCCTTATCCTATATGTTATTATTTAATTTATTGTATAATCAATTGACGAACACTTGCCCTCTCGTCACACGGTCTATGCTACTATTTTGGCTGAAACAGTAACAAGCGAATTAGAGAGGGAAGTTGTTAGGCTAACACAGATTACTTTTGTGTTATCAGCCTCGGTCTAAGAACGTAGATAATGCAAGTGATATATAAAGCAATTTTATTGCTCGGGCCATCAACAGATACTACTGTCAATGGTCTCGATGCTGAAGACATATATTCAGAGTATCCGGGTTGGATTAGCCTATTCGATTCTTTAAAGGCACCAGGCACTCTTGATGGTCTTCTGTGGGTTTCGCTCCTTGGGACATTCGTTTCGACATTCGTTTTGTAGACCCACCATCTCTGTTTTTCTCAATCTGAAAGCGGCTTTCGACTCAGTCGACCGCTATAAACTCTGGCGCTCCCTTTAACTGAAGGATGTGTCCAAGCATACGAAAGAGGAACAGATACATACGCCTGACGACCAGCTTCCCGGGGAATTTTTTCGAGTCATTCATCTACTACTTATAGCCAACTATATATGTTCAAAAGGAAAGAACTTCAAGAGGACAATTTTTCATTTATTCGATCGCATGGACTTATTAGGCGAGAAGAGGAGATTTCGCGCATGAACATTTATTTTCTGGGCTCGCAGATGAGAGTTGTGGGAACCAATTGAGACCACTCCCAATGATGATAGCACAGCGAAGCTAAGTTTATTTTTAACCGCAAATTCTATGCATGGGACGGATTATGTCGGCCACGTGCAGTCAGGGGAGGAGGGGGGAACTGCTGCGTTCGTAAGTGACTTCCAGAAAGTTGCTCACAGCCCACCTCCGGGTGAACCGCGGTGAACGATCGGATGATTGAAAAAACACTGCGTGATCGCTGTGCACTTCACGCCTGGTCTCAGGATGAAGCACACACACACAGGGTGATCCGTGAGACACGTTTTTACTTTTACTCCAAAATGATTTAGTTTGACCTATGATTTATTGCAGTGCATTTGCTTGCTCCGGGCACTGCAGTACTTACAATGTGCGTTACGAAACTGTTTAGACAGCCAACCGCAACTCTCGTAGGAGAATGTGTTGTCCTCATGGTAGTCCATTCATTGATTGCGACATACAATTGGAATGGGAATAGAACGAAGCCCACACCTCATCAGTGTATGTTGTGCATTGAAAGCTGCTCTCTAAAAACCCACAGTCTGGATCATTCATGTGTTATTCCCTGGGAAATTCGAACCAACGGGCAGAGGTCGTTAAACCAGTTCCGATCAAATATATGTTGCTTCCAATAATGGTCGTACTGGTAAAGAGTTGTCTGAGTTGTCAGAATGAAGCCGATAGACAGTTGTCAACTGAAGCGTAAGCGAATTTGCTCACAACTCGGTTTTTAGGCTGCAGATGAATGTGACAGACTGTAAATTCAATGTTTCTAGTTGAATACAGAATTGTGTATGGGTATCATAGTTAGCTGTTCTCTCGTATGTACTCCTGGCCATACCGAGTCGGGCACACGATTCGATGTTGAATACTATCACGTGTGACGTGGTCATATGTTTTCTGTCGGTTCTATTTAAATGGATAGATTACAGGTTAAACTCCTACACAGACAAAAAATCGGCGAAATCTGCATTTGCTTGGGAGGCTCTCCATATGAAACAGAACAAATGCGGTGTCGGTCAAACATCTACATATGACGGGCATAATGTAGGAACGTATGAACCTTGGATAAATTCCTAGCAGGATTTCATCAGCACCGTGAGGTAGTTACATCCGAGGCAAAAAGAACTAAAATCAATTATTTCCAAAGAGACTGCGAAAGCCTCCGAACGCCCCAGTATCGTCGGCAGACGGTGTCTAAGGTTGCGGTTGGTCACCCTCCTCTTGCACCTCGAGAAACGCTCTCATACGACCAAGCGTCTCAAAAACACTCTGCTGAGGAAGCCGTACCCATTGCCTCTCGCAGAAGAAATGTTATATCACCAAAGTGATCAGTGATCTACGCTGAAACAGTAAGTAATCAAGATTCGCATGACAGCAAGACTGCTCAGATCATATGGAATCCAAGTCTCCCACAAACCGACTGCAAGAACTGCTCAAAACACTATATCGGACAAATTGGAAGAAAACTGTTAACAAGGATCCGGGAACGCCCATCGGCAATCAAGACACATGAACCATTATCGCTGATTTCCCTCCACGAAGATCACGAAGTATATCAGTTTGACTTCGATTCGGTGAAAATTATCGACCAAGCCCGATCAAAACACGCCAGATAATTTGCTCGAAGCTTGGCACTCCTCAATCAACTCAATAAATAGGCACATCGAACTGGATCACGTGTATACGCCAAAGCAACTCAAGAATCAAATGACGCAACAAAAAAGGTCAGACCGTGACCTGAGAACGGACGGAAACCGCAATCAGGACGGAGGGACTACCTACCACCTTCCATAGCAACCTCACCCCCCAGGCACCAGTTTAACGGCGAACCGAGTCGAACGCAATGAGAACAAGGGACAAAAATGGTTGATGGAGAACACATGTATAAATGAAAGGATACAAGCGGAAAACTGTCACTTCACAAGCACTGATGATGTCACCTGGGCTGGTGATGTGACGTTTGCAAACAAATTGCCAAGCTCGGCGAACAGACGAAATGGAATTCAGTTCACCCGAGCTACGAGAGCCGATTTTCAGTAGTTTGTCAATAGAATCGGACTAACGACAGGAACAATGCGATCACGTTCGTTAAAACCACCCCGGCTTAGTTGAGCACAGAAGCAAATAGAATAATAACCACTGAGGTGTGTTCGTAACCGGTTAAGTCAAATCATTCGGTGCACATGGTAAGCGCGTTTAGGTCGATTAACAAGGTTCGATACAGAAAATACAGAACAGTGAGGCACCATATCTTAGCCATGACCGAAGCCCTGAGCATTCGGATTCAAACATCCCCCGTTCGGTAGTCCCAGAAGAAATTCGCGCAAACACTTAACCTCCAAACCGCGCCACATGTGCAACCCCGGGAATTTTTGTCACAGTGATCAGTTTTACAGGAACACACGCACATAAGTTTGGAACCAGAAGCGAACCATTAGGACTCAGTTTTCTCATATCCTTCTGTTCTTTTTGTTAGTCATTTTTTATGTGA